CAGTAGAGGAGGCCAGCGCGGGGTGTTACCTGGTCAGCTACAAGGCAATCAGCAAGGAGGACCGGGAGCTGCCCGTCGGCATGAGCGGCGGCCTCCAGGCACTCAACCCGAACCGGCTCTCCGCCATGCGCGAAGCGTTTTCCCGCAGCCGCAGCATCAGCACGGATGTCTGACCGGCCTTGCCCCCAGCCCAGGGGGCGCCTGCTAAAGGCCCCCCCGCCTCCCTCGGGCTCAAGGGTCGGCTGAAGGCGCTGCTCTTTTGAAGAAAGGGAATCGCCTTTTGGAACGAGGAACGTACTTCTGCGCTCCCAGGTGTCTTCCTCTCTAGCGCGGTCCCAGCAGGACGGGGCGAGGGGTGCGGCTGCGTCGACAGAGGTTTTCTAGAACCCGGTATTAGCAGCTATTACTTTCTTCCTGTAGATGAGGTTTTTGATACCGGACATCCTTTTGTATGAATATGCAAAATAGTTAGCCCCTCCTAAGCCTGCCCACGGGTGTTGCCTCTGCTCTCCCCGATTGGCTGGGTGTAGGACGGGGGAGGGCAGGGGGAACGAGGCTGCCAGATGCAGACTTGTCTTCGTGCGTAATGCAAACCAGAACCTGTCTCACTCTTTTCTCTGCAGCAGCCCCACCCTCCAGCGTATGAAAGCCTTGGACGCCATCCCTGAAGCCCTTCCTTCCCAAAGTCGCTATCAAAGAGGCATTTTTAGTATGACAGAAGCAGCTTGCTACGTCCATGGCAGGTAACCCTGTCAGCTACATCCACCTGCAAACAGGATGAGCCTGGCTTTGGTCTGTCCTTGCCTTGCTCGCTCCTGCTCTCCTGGTCCTGCCTACTTTCTGGGCCTCAACAGGGGGGCTGCTGAGGGCCACCAAAGTGCGTGGGCTGCATCTGTCGGGAGTGGGATTTTCCTGTTTTTGAAAGGTGATGGTGCCTGCTTTAGGACTTCATCTATCTCATCTCCAACTAGAACAATCTGTGCTCTACGAGTTTTTGCCAGGCATGGAGGCCAGCCTGCTGTGCTTTGTGCTTCCATGGCTGTCCTGCACTTTTCTGTTCCAGAAGCCTCCTGGCTTCCCCCCTCAGTGCTGAAGAAGCCAGATGCCCAGTAGGTGGGTACAAGTCACTCCTGCAGGCACAGGTGCATTTCTTTTATTGAGGACAGAAATTCTGTAGGTTAGAGCTCCCAGTTGTTTAAAATAGAGACCTTCATAATGGTGTGTGACAGAAGGCAGTCTCAGATCAACCTCCAGGAAAAGTGGGAGCCTGGCTAGGTTGGGATGTCAGAATGGAGACAGGCTCAAAAGGCAGTTCAGATTGCATTCAGATTCTAGCTGAAATGGTGAAGGAACCCCATGCTGGCCCACACCACTGCTTCACCAGGCCTTTGGGTCTGGAGGCAACTCCATGGTGCCCAAAGCAAAACCATTCCCGCAGGTGAAACTGCAGGACCTCTGTCAGTGTGTTGGGGTAACGTGATTGTTGTAAACCAGTGGTGCTCACGAGTCACATGCTAGGGATGACGGAAGCCCAACATGTCAGAAGAATACCAGGTTACGGCACTTTGGGCTCAAACTGTTCAATCTCCTTGAGTGGGAGCAGGGAAGTAGGAATCCAGGAGGCAAAGTACCATCTTAAAACAAGCCAGAAATCTTTAAGGAAGTGGGTACCATTTCAGTGACAAGTCACTGAGCATTACAGCTCAGCATCTCCTACAGAACCGGGATCCAGGTGGACTTTTTTCCAGCTAGTTTGAAATTAATTTTCATATCTTGCTTTGGCTGCATCCGATAAAATGCATTCATGTTGCTCTGTCTTAAGTGATCTGTACTAGTTGCTGCTTCCACAAAACTATTTTGTATAATTCTTCTTAAAATTTGTATTTGTTTCAGTGGCACTCTTAAAAATGCTACAACTTGTTGCTTTTCAGTATGGCTATTTATTTTTTTCCCCTTGTATATCTTTGAAATAAATTCAAACTATTTCATGAATTTTCATTTACCTTTACTTGTGATAAACATATACAGGACTTCTGGATTCCGAAAATAAAAAAAAGAAACTTACCTTGACTTGGTTATCAAATGGAGTGTTTTCTTTCACGATATTTAAGAAAGACACAACAGGTCTGAGGGAGTTCCCACCATCCCTTTTATTGCCTACAAGCAGGGAGAGGCAAAGGTGGGAGCCCTTTTTAGAGCTGGAGAGTTAAGGACAGGGGGGCACCAGTTTCTCCCCTTAAGATTCCTGACACCCCCCACCCCCGGGACCCTGGACCTACTCACCCACCCACTTTTGGAGCATGGCCTTGAGACTGCATCACTCCTTGGGCACTTCTCGGTTTTGCGGTGGGGGGCAGGAATGCCTCCCTTCGTTCCTTTTGCCACAGACAAATGGGAAAAAAAACTTACAGGGAATGAGCTGTCACCATAAATATCACAAACTTTATTTAAAGTACACTTAAAGTACCATTCAACAGTAAAAGGGATAAAGTTTATTATTTTGTAAACACATACATTAAAAAAAGAGCCTAGGGCCCTTTTGGGTTATAAAGTGCAGTTATGTTTTCATTATCCTATACAATATGCTGGCATTATGTCACTTTAACTAAGAATTTGAATACATTTCTGCCAGATGTGCATTTACATGTTATATTTAGTGGACTTTGCTACCTGGCCTGCATTAATTTGTATTTATGACTGAGTGAGAATAATAAAGACTAAGTGCCTAAGGCTGAAATGTCAGGGTTTTTCTGCCTTCAGTCCAGCTCTGGAACAACATTATTTTGTTGCCTTGTTGGTGCAGACTGCATTCCCACCCATTTCCATTTATTATTAATACAGTGTAAAATGGATGCACGGCCTCTCAAAGGATTTTCATTGCAACACATGGGGCAATTATGAAATACATGACTGGAGAGCATAACTTAATCAGCATAACTTTGATTTCTGGGGTGTGTTCCACTTAAAGGTCAACTTGCGATGCTCTGGGAAAAGGCTGTATCCCTCTGGCATGAAGGGATAAGGACGCTTTAGAAAAAGCCTTCTAAGGGAGAGATGCGGAAGAAAAGTCAAGACTGATGGCGGATATTTTGACTTGACAGTCCTGCAACAGATGATGTGGCCATTAATAATAAAGGACCAACAGGAATGTTTCTGGCTCTAAACATTTTTTCTCAGCGCTCTGGCAAGCTTTAAACTGATGCAGACAAGACGGATGAGAACAATCTGGGATGGAAAGCTACATAAAAGATGTGCCTAAACAAAATCACTTGCGGGAGAGGAGTCATGTATAGGTAGATCAAAAGTGGGGGGAAAAATCTCGCTAAGGGAATTAAAAGAAAATCCAGAATTCTGCACGTGAGCTTTCAGTATGCTGGTGGCCAAGAGGGAGGCCACATTCCAGCTGGAGAAAAAGAGAAGCGAGGACCACAAGGCGATGCCTGGAGGGTGCTTGCTTCGCTGGCAGAGGAACGGCCTGCGGCTCAACGGGCTGCTCCTGCTGCCTCCTCGGGCGTGGCACCCAGGCCAGTCGGAGGCCCCGCGCCCTTCCTCCCCCTAGGAACGGGGTACTCTGCAGGATCTGCAGCAGGCCTTGCTGTAATACCAGTGGCTGCACAGGTTCACCTTAATCGCTAGAGCACAGTTGGTCCCCGCCTGGTCCTGGCAGCTGTCATCTGTGGGCAGGGGCACAAGGTCAGGGGGGTCACCCAAAGGCAAGAGGGAGATCCGCACGCAGAGAAAACCCTCACGTCCCACTGCCTTGGCCCCAGTGCTCGCTGTGCAGACAGAAGCCTCGATCTTGCCTGCGCAAGTGCAGCATGAATCATACCTAAGCAAGGGGGTGTGGTGTGCCATTGAGCAAGCTCAAGGTCACCTGCGCAGAATCGATACCACTATGTTTTCTTTAACATGGTCATTAGCACTGCTTGGGGTGGGGAGCAGGGAACTGGGGGTTTTCCTGTACTTTTAATTTGCACCAAAACTGGGTTTGACAAAATGGTACAAACAAAATGGAAAGGTGCATGTTGCACATGCCTAATGTCACCAAATGTTATTTATAATTTTTTAAAAATGAATTTGGAAGTTTCTTCCTGAAAAAAAAAATCTGAGGATGTTACAAGCAGCCATCTTATTTAAGCTGCAATAAGAATTCTTCAGGCAGGCCAGGGTTACCACTTCTTGCTATTCCTCCTCTGGAAATGGGAGGCTCGTCTACAGTGTGGCATGTTGTGGCGTGACTCTGATCAGCCCAAGAGCCGGGGCTGATAAAGAAACCAGAGTTCCCCAACGCCAGGCGTGGCTCACAGCACTTAAGCTACCTCCCCCCGGTCAGCCACGCATCCCAGCTAACCTGGTGGTTCCGTTGGGCACGGATGAAGGTCACAGGTCTGCTTCCCGACTGGTTTTGTAAGTGGGTCGCACCCTCGGACCAGATCCTTCCCTTGGTAACACTTGACATCCCGCATCCTCACACCAATTCCGCAGGTCTTTGTGCACTGAGACGTGGGAACAAAAGGTCTTTTGGCAACAGCAGCTTATGGACAACCAGAACAATTCAAAGTGAGCGCCAGTGTTTCCAAAAAGCAAGCCAGCCAGCAAAAGGAAGGAGTAGGAGTGAAAGTAAGCTAGTTTTAAGTATGCTGCAGGTAAGCCAGAAATCCATTTCCTTCGCTTTCGGAAGCAGCCAGTGGTGCGCTGCTGCTTTCAAACTGGCACGGCGTCCTAATGTGGGAATGCCAGAAGGGCAACCCACCAGGCCCAGATCAGCTGGGGGTGGGTAGTTGCATGCTCCAGATTTTACATCTCACAAGTTTCATTTATTTTATGGGTTGGAAATCTAAGGGAATTTGCTGGCTGCCTGAACAGAACAAGATGTTATCAATAAGCTGATTCAGCATAGCACAGCTTCCTCCACGTTGCATCAGGCCAGGACAGCGCTAAGTGCTGACGGGGAAAATCAGCCCCTTATCCCTACCTATTTGTAGAAAGACTGTACTCCGCAACTATTTTGCAAAAACATCTGCTGCAGGCCATCTTAAGGCAGATGGTGATCCAAGGAGAGATGGCTATGCCGGGGCAGCCAAGGAAACATCTGGGCCACTGAGAGTGTCTGGCCCCAGAAGGACCCGCGTGCCAACGGCCCACCCCCCCACCTCTGGGCAGCCGGTCAAGGCCTGGAGGAGCTCTTGCCAGCGACCGAGTGGCTGTGGCTGCCAGGGCCGAGGCGAACCTCTTGCGGCTTGGAGCCGGATGCGGCCCACCAAGATCTAATCAGAACTGGGCGTGCTCTGTTGGGCAGCAGGGAGTAAAGGGGAGCACGGAAACGAGGGAATCCATTAAGCCTGATAAAGGAGATAAGGTTCCCACCAAGGAACCAGCTCGTTAGTCTTGAGACACAGGAGTGTTAATTAGGGCTGCCAGTTGTAAACTTTCCAGGTTCAGGTTTTTAAATTCCTACAAGCTGCTAAAAAGGCCCCTTTTTCTTTAGTTCTGCCATGCACTTGACAGGCCAGCAGAAAACCTTAAAGATGCTTTCTCTCCCAAGCAAAAGTGACAGTTTGGGGTTATCAAGCGGGAAGCGGTTTTGCTTCTTCTGGAGCATCTTGGGAAGCCCCGTGTTAGTTCGCCAGCTGCTGGGCAAGGCAGCAGGGGGGTGAGCTTCCTTGGGGTGGCTGTGAAAACCTGGTTGGCTGGTTTGGCCACAATAGGACATGTAAACAAAACCAACTTTTTCCGTGAGGCCATATTTTGATTTTGTGCCTCATGGATTTAGTGACCACAACAAGTGAGCCATCTCCAGGCTGGCTGACCATTCTTTGGCCAAAGAGATGCCCACCTCCTGCTTGCTGAGGGTCATTCTTAATGCATGTTATGCCTGTTAAACCTAAAGCCTGCCCCAGAGTTATTTTTACGATCCTCCTGGGGGAGGGCTAGTATAGCAAGAACCAGAAGCCCCCAGGCCCCCCCCCCAACCTCAGGCCCTCACCTCAGACCAAGGGGTGGTGTACCACTTGAAACAAGGGCGCTCGAAGCAGGTGGCCTCCTCAGCCTCCTTCTTGATGGCGTCGCACTCGGCCGGGGGGCGGGTTTTGACCTTCCCACTGACAATCTCCAAGCAAAGAACCGTCCGCTTCTTCACCCCTCGGCCACAGGTGGTGTTGCACTATCAGAAGAAGGAAACTATGTATTATTTATATAAATAATTATATATAATTATATAGGAATTATGTAGGAAGTTTGCTATTGTAGCATATTTTAATTAATTAATTAATTAATATTTATCTATTTGAATCCATGTTTATTCTTTTTTTGCTGTGAACCACTCAGAGTCACTCTGCAGAGATATGGGCAGTGACAAATTTGAAATATAAATTAAATAAATAAATAAAGGTCCAGATGTAGCCCGGGCAGTCGAAGGAAGGCAGGTAGGCCTTGGGCACCCATAAACCCCCCGCGGACCCCTTACCCTTTCCCAGTCCTGAGCCAGCCAGCTGGCAGGGCAATTCTTTTCCCCACAGGGATGGATTGCAAGTGGCTTGGTCTCCGGGTTGCACTGGGATTCGGGCACCACCCGTCCATCGCTGCTCTTGCAGTAGACGTGCCGGATTGTTCGGCCTGGCCCGCAGCCCCCGCTGCACTGAAAGAGAAACAGAAGGGCCAGAAGGGCAACTGGGCATGCACCCTGTGAGGTCAATGTGCTGGGGGGCCCCTCTGGGCCCCACCCTGACAGACTGATGGAGTACCGTAGCTCTAGGCCCCTTTGGCAACTTAACAAGGGGCTTTTAAAGTTTATGTTTTCGTAAGCCTCCCCAAGCCATCTGCAACTGGGTAGACTCTCTCTCTCTCTGTGTGTATGTGTGTGTGTGTGTGTGTGCGTGCGCGCACATGCGGCACAACAAAAAAAAAGATGGAAAAGTTATTCAGAGAAACTTGGCAACGCAGAAATGGCGGCACTTTCCCACTCTTCTTTCAGCTAGGGGATGTGCTCCCCCAGGCAGCGTGCTGAAGTGGCTGAGCTGCGTCATAAATCCTAGCACTGCAAGATGCCCCCGAGGCCATCCAGTTACCCTTCTGCTCAGTGCAGGAATCCAGAGAGGTGTCCTCAAGAGCCCCTGCTTGGACACAGACCATGAGGGAGAGCTCCCCCACCCCGGCTGAGCCCTTGGCTTCACTGCCAAATCACTTGCCTATTAGGAAGTTTTTGGAATCTGCTTTCCTGCTGGAAAGAACACCAGTGAATCAAAAGGGATGCTAGAAAAAAATCCCAGAAGATCAGGATAATCGGACCCCTAAAAGTTATTTTGATGCATGGAGCCTCTCTGCCTCCAGACAGCGAAAGTTCAGAGGGCATTGTGGGAGAAAAAAGGAAGCGCTTTGGGCTGGAAACTGAACATTAGATTAAATGGCACCCTGGCCTGAACCAGAAGGCAAACTGGTTTCATGTGATGCACTGCTCGCAGCTCCTGCAAATATCCCACCATCCCATCTCTCCTGGTCGGTGACCTTCCCCTCTGTGCAAAAGGGACTTACTGGTCCCCAATCAGAGACAGTCCACTGCCGGTCACAGGGGGGCCCGGTGCAGTTCTTATCTGCCGCCGGCTTGGCGCTGGCGTTACACAGCCTCTCTTCTTCGGAACACCGGATGTCTCGGCTCACCACACTCCTCTCGCCACACCTGGCTGTGCACTGGAAGGGGAAGAGCAGGGAAAGTCAGCCCCCGTGGCAGCCCTCGAATTCATGGTGGAGAACAAGCAGCAGAAGCTTCATCTCTGCCCCTAAAGAGAAGCGTAAAAAGGTGACAAAGCCCACCCCCCACCCCCAGATACTGAACCTCAGTGTAGACTTGAAGGCCCAGAAAGGAAAGGTCCTGTCAGAATCCTCACAAAATATTAATCACGCTAAATATTGGCTTGGCTTTTTCTTCCCTTGCTTTTTCACTTGCTTCGGTTCTGCCATTAAAGGACATGGGGCGGGGGTGGAAGGTTATGGGAAGATGAATGGAGAAATGGACTGTTGGAGGCAGATGAGCTCTTATCACAGGCAATGGAATGCTCAAGGTCGTACCAATGGGAGAATGTGAGAAGCCTAGGGTGTCGGGGGCTGAGGAGGGAAGAAAGAAAAAGGGTAAAAGCAACTTTTGGCACGCACAGGCTCAGTCTCAGCAATGCTTTGGATTTGTACACTTATTCTCAATAAATGAACTTCTTTTAGAATCATGAATGGTTGCCAGGAGAGTTACTGGAATTGTAGGTGTCAGGTCATTACATTTTGGTATGACTCCTGTGAGGATCGGGGAAGACTTGCCGTGCAGGAAGTCCTATGCGTCGCATTGACCGGCAAGGACTGAGCAACAAGATGGCAGATTGAGAGGAGATGGAAGAGGTGCTGGGTCCTTCCAGAGTGCCGTTGGAAGTTAAGGTCGTGTCAGAGGAGGAGCTGGTGAAATCATCGTGCCTGACATGAGTGGCAGCGAAAGGAATGGGAGCAAAGGAATGGGGTGCCTTGATGAAAGATCGCATGGGAAAATTGGAGGTGCAGATGGCTTCCCTAACAGATGATGTGTGGGCCGTGAGGATTGCACTGGATTGAACGTTGGGGGTTGGCCTTATGTCCCCTGCCCGGGAACAGGCAGGAACCCTGGGACTGACAGAGCTGGCTGAGCAATCAGGCAAGGGGGAGACATCCAGCAAGGAGGATGAGGATTACTCACCCAGACGAGCCAAAAAGAGCCCGATGCAGCAACGGGTTATCTCCGCGAAATTCGCGGGAGATGCCAAACAGCTGGCCTGTTTTATTACCCAAGTGAGGATCTACATGGAGGGATATGGAAAATTGTTCCACAGCGAAGCCGAGAAGGTCTCTTATGTGTCGAGTTACTTTGAAGGCACGGCAGTGGAGTGGGTCGTCAGAATGCACCGTGCGAAGGATCGGGCATTGCAAAAATTGGAGGATTTTATGGAAGCCCTGTGTACCCATTTCGAGGACCCATGTGTCGCCTTGAAGGCACGCCGAGACCTGGAAAGACTCAAGCAGGGCTCCAGAATGGTGTCCGCATTCGCGTTCGAGTTCCGAGGTTTGGCGCAGAAACTCCCAGACATCCCAGAGGGGCTCCTCATTGAGTTCTTCCAGCAGGGTCTGCAACCTGAGCTATTGCAGCGAGTGGTGTGTCGGGGCTACCTGAAAACCCTCAATGGATGGGTCGCCATGGCAGGAAAAGTGGAAGAGCGGTGGCGCACCGTGGAAGCAAGAACCCGTGCGTTGCTGGCCATACCAGGAACCAAGAAGGCTGGGATCAAACCTAAAGCAAGTGCCTCAGAGGGTAGCCGGAGTCACCGGGTGTGCTTTAGGTGCGGAGAGCCGGGTCACTTCACAGCCGCATGTCCTCAACCGAAAGCAGAACCAGGAGGGAGGAAGGTGGAGTGAAAGATACCAAAGCTCCTGAACCCCAGGAAGAAGGAGACAGTGGCGACCAGTGCAGAGGTGGGGTTGGGAACTCCTGGAGCTTGACGCATTGGCAAGGGGCTGAAGTCGCTGGCTCTGCCAACCATCCAGCAGCCGGCATCACCTCCTGAGCAAGAAGGGTGTTCCTGTGAGGATTTGGAGAGTGAAGAAACCGGGGTGAGTCCCATCAAAGTCTGGGTGAAGCTAAGGGCATTGAGGACGAACCGTAGGTCTGACTTGCAGGCTCTGATAGACTCGGGTTGTTCCCGCAACCTCATAAATCCTGCGGTTGCCTGTGGGCTGGGATTGAGATTAAAGAGACTTAAGATCCCAGTCATATTCGCTCAGCTGGACAG